AATTTGGGCTCCTGGAAAGAAGTCAGACTGTAAACAGCATGTTTGCCATCACAATGCTAAAGTAAGACATAAAAAACCAACTAGCTGCTTGAGGGGGCTTGCAGGAAAGGAGAGAAATACATGAAAAAATAACTTGAGAATTTAAAACCCACTTCAGCTCATTCTTATGGAGAACTGTGCAGACTACTTCTGACTCATCCTCTTCTCTCTAGCCATTGGTTTGTTATTTTCTGAGTCCACTGACCAGCAGTTATTGTCAGTCAGTCCCTCCTGAGAAGAGTGATATTCTTTAACAGAATAACCCAGATTTCCCAGCATCATAGATATTGTCTCAAAACTTTGTTATTCCCTAGAGAGATTCCCATTAAAAAAGTGGTTTTACCTTCCCAGCAACGTAGCCTAACAGGCATCCTCAAGAGGACAATGTCATTTCCAGTCAGGTAAAAACTGGTCATCAGAGGCAAAGCTATTCAGCTCATTCTACACATTCTCCTAAAGGAGAGATATGTTCAACCAATGAACAGATAGATAGCACATCTCTGGTTCTAAATGGTACAGAGCAATAACTAGAATGTCTAAAATGTCATTTATGAAAAGTGTTAATAAATGTGGAGAAGCACTGTTCCAGATGTAACAAGAGGAAGAAATGGTCAGGCACGGTGCTAACTAGTGTCTTGTATTCTCTTGTCTAACCTTCACAGTAGTCATGCATAGACAGGGAAACTGACCTTAAATAACTCAAGAGAACCACATAGCTCGTAGGTGACATAGATGAGGTTTGAGACCAGGTCTGTTTCCATTAAACCTGGTTCCAGAGTCAGTCAGGTCACACATTTGAGTCAGAGATTACTGCCTCATGTATTCACCTTGTTACTGGAGAAGAAGAATAAACACACCCATGGATTGAACCTAGGTTTAATGTGGACATAATGAGTGCTCTCTCCCTGAATTACAACTCCAGTCCTAGAATGGGGGGGGGATCTCTCCAACACCAGACACATCCATGTATCACCACATCTCAGTCCTTGTGATCACTACTTCCAGCTGTATTTTGTCTCTTAGCTTACATCTTTGTGCAAGGGAGCCATTTGCTGGGGGAAAGGATGCGTAGTGCTCTCTGTGTCTTTCCACGTCTTCCTTCCATTTCCCTTCTCTGAGCTACAACATTGTGCGAGTTATTGTTCCTCAACTCCACACATTCAAGATTTTTGCCAACACTCTAACTTCCTGGGTGGGAATACTGTCTTCGAGATAGAGAGCTTTCTGGTGCAGTCTTGGGAGGAGCCCCTGTACAGAAGGCAGTAGAGTGTGCCTTTGAAGTGCCAGTTATGCTCAATTCTCTTGAGCAGCAGGTCGATGTCCAGTCCATTTGGTCAGGAGTCACACCCAGTGCCAACAGCCACTGTCTCCTGGAGAGGGCTGCTTCTCCTGGAGCTGCATCCAGCACAGGCAGTCACTGACTCCAGGAGGGTGGTGCTTCTTGTTAGTGGTAAATGTGCTTATGGTTGAGACAGGGGCCAACAGAGGAACTCAGCAAGAGTCTGGCTTTCCTAAATATTACTCAAGACTTTTCTGTAAAAGAAGGCTTTACATAATTGTATTTAACTTGTGATTTTGAAGAGCCTTTCTCCATTGCAGGGAAAGAAAAATGGATAGAGAAGGATGGAGGAGTAACAAGCAGCACACAGTGAGGAGACCCCAGAATGCCTCCAGGAGCAACTCACTTCATTTTCCAAGACTCCTATCTCTTTATCCATTATTGCAGGAAATTCAAGCAATTGAAGTTTTCTTCCTGCATGAGCAAGCCAGTGGTGTGTGAAAGGTCAGTGAAAGCATGCATTTCTTTGTGCATTTTTGGAGCATAGCTCCTTCCTGGTCCTTCCTGGAAACCAGTTTGCCTCTGGATTCCCGGGGAATGGCACTACAAATGGTTTTGGGTATCATTGATACACTCAACTGTCCTGATGTCTGTCTGAGGATGCAGCAATGTCTAAATTCTTGTACTTTTGGAGACTTTATGTTATAAAATATGCCTTCTACTTAAGGAAATTCTGATGAGTACCCATCATTTTGTGTATGAAGAACTCAGGCAGTGGCTGGTTTCTGCATTTCCATAAAGGTGCTGTTTGTGTTGAGCATCATTGAAGGGCATTTGATTCTCAATCCCCATGGTGGCTCTTCTGGGATCCTCAGCTTTAAATCAGGACCTGGGTCAGGAGCTTCCTGTAGTTCTTTCTGTAAAGAGAGCTGAGCAGTAGTCAATCTTCCTCTTCATTCTCATTACCAACTTAAAAAAAAAATTACCTTACATGGGAGTGCAGAAAGAAAGCATGAAGGAATATTGCAATCATGGAATTGTGTGTGTGTGTGTGTGTGTGTGTGTGTGTGTGTGTGTGAGAGAGAGAGAGAGAGAGAGAGAGAGAGAATTATGCATAAGTATTAGTTTTACACATTTCCCCTTCCCTCCTCCTTGCTAATTCCTCCGTGTCCCCATCACTCCCTCTCAAATTTATGACCTGTTCTTTAATTTTATACACACACACACACACACACACACACACACACACACACAC